TACTATATATATATAATTAATTGACCTTCATCGAACTTTGTCCAAGAGAAAGAGTCGTAGATTTATCAAAAATTAATTATATATACATAGTATCGGATATATAGATATAGATAAAGTTCGATGAAGGTCAATACAAACGTCATATAACTGATAAACGCAGAGCATAACATCATGATGATTGTAATCGAGCATATTTACATTTACAAGTAAATATCGGAAGATGCTGGTGGCCTTCCCATCATTGCTAATATTTCAACATTATCTCCAAAAAAGGATATGGCTTTTAATCACTTTTTTCCGCAATGATTTGTTAAAAGTGTAACAAGTGTTTAAACGAGTTAGTACTTATCACCATTGTGGGGGAATAAAGATAAACTAGTGAATAAAATCGCTTTCACATGATACAGAGTTTTATAAGAGTGCCGCGATATCGCAGTGTGCTGACGCCTCCCCCCCCCCCCCCCTCTCTCTCTCCCTCTCTCTCTCTCTGAGAATACTTAGGAATAGTGCGAGCAATTACAAATAGTGCTGTCACATTGTTTTAAATTCCTGTTGGAAATTATACATTTGGCCGAAAAGAGAATCAGAACATCGATTTTACGAGTCCGTAAGATTCCAATACTACGTGGCAGGCTTACTAATAATAGTCAATAGAATTTCATTAATTTTTGAATTTTTATTTACGCTTCTTATCTTTGATTTTTATCACGAGCAGGAATTCTTCAACTAAGAAGAGGAAACTTTTTATTCGAGCTTGGCTGATTTATATGCAGATCAATATCTAAGCAACACGTTCGACTACCACAGGAGTACGTTACCAAGAAAATACCTTGGAGTGTGCACGCATTAAGTTTCAACCGGTAATAGAATTATTCCCCTTTCTCGGAGGAATTGATTTCTGTCTCAGTGTTATATACGATGTCCCTTGACAGACATCAGCAGAAACGCTCGTTGTTGTAGGTAGATTTAACGTGTGACAAATCCATTTTCCAAATATATCGTTACTGAGATTGTTTAAATGATTGCTGTAAAATGTCGCGCGATTTGTGTGTGACTCGTATACGTAGATTGCCCGTTTATTTCCACAATCAATACAATCGATATTCTCGGTGTTTCCGCGCTCATATTTTTCAGCTGTCACTGATCATTTTTGCAAAATGATGTACTCTCAACGGTGCAGTTGTTCACAATTTTTCACTACTGCAAATATTGCTTTAGCATAACTCTGTCGATTAAAACGCAATCAATAATCATTTATTGTCTTTTTGAATATATAAATATGAACAGAACAGCTACGTAAAGTCATAGAGTACAAAAAAAAATACGAAATAAAAAATTAATGTTTTAGTTAAACGTTATCTTGCTATTATTTTATTTACAACGTAATATTATATTTGATGTTTGAATATTTATTTTTAATAAATTTTTATTAATTTTTTTTCTATTTACTTAATTCTGAGTCAAAAAAAAAACTTGTATTGTAAATTTAGATGTTTAATTCATCAGATAACTTCTATAAATGTATTATAATAAAAATATATTCGTGCGTGCACATTCATACACCTGTAAAGTTAAAAAACATGTATGAGTATTGTAAATACTATAAATAATATTTACAATATATCACATTAAATTCTGTAATTAATTCTTTAAATAATTAATTTATTTGAATAAAATCTGTTTGTATTGCAGAACGAGCGCTTCTAGGAGCCGCAGTGGCATGGATCTCGTGAACCTGACTGTCCGCTCTCTCAAATTGGGAGACGTGAAACCATCAAGGGAGAACTTCTTGCAGGTCGAGCGTGATAGTATCACAGAGAGAAACGATATTATCGGAGAGCGAAAATGCAGACTGAAGGAAAAGTCGCACGATGAGCTCCGGATAATCAATTTGGCCGAGGTTGCCTGGCACGACACTCCTGACGACTGCTGGCTCGTGATCTACGATTACGTATACGATTGCACAGAATTCTTGAACAATCACCCAGGCGGCCAGGATATTCTCCTAGAACACGCCGGACGAGATGCTACCTTGGCGTTCATTTCAACTGGTCACTCCGCCGTCGCTAATGCAACCTTAGAAAGGTACAAAATTGGTGAGCTTCCGCCGGAAGAGAGACTTTTTCGCACTCCCAACGGCCTGAAGATCTCGGGATTCTAATCTGTTCAGATTATTGAAGGTTGTCATCATCATCATCGTGACGCACTTGGGAAAATATCAAATTTTACATGAAAAATAGAAACCGGCATATTAAATACTTTTATTTAACTTTTTTCAAAAGTATGCTTGCTGTATAGAAGATTCTACGGAAATTGATTATATTTGAAATATTGCCGTTGCTTCTATAAACATTTTCTTTTTCCTGAGTTAGTCTTCTTTTTTCCAAGTCTTTTTATTTAATTTAATTTTAATTGATTAACACTGTAGATTTTATTAAATTTTGTCAGCAATGTTGTGATTGAAAAAAATAAATTAAATAATTTATTCTAATGTGCCGCCTATTTTTACATAATAATTTTTTCACTTTTCAGCTTTCTACAACTGATCTTATCGTATTATCAGTAGCAAGAGATATTTTTAAATAATCAAACTTAGACTGTACCTATGTAACACATAAATTGTTATATCTAAGATTTTAAACAGAAAAGAGGAAATGGTTGCATATCGATGTGATTTTTATTTGTCAACAAATCATAACGATAATGATTTTTTTATCAGTATTTAAACTCGTCCACAATCATTACTACAATAATGCAAGCTAAGTTATACATTTGATAACGCTAAGCGATAAATCAGATTTACTGTTTTTCTGTTTTTATTTATTACATCTACAATAGCGATTAAATTGTGTAATTTCAAATTTTTTTCTCTTGTTTCGCATGCGCGTGCCTTCCTAAAATGTAAAAACGATAAAATCATTGGATCATATACCGGACAAGATATTTGAAGAAAGATTTTTTGGTAGACAAATATTACATTTTTCATGGAAAGTTACTTTATTATTACTGAAGATAATAGATATTTAAAATTCTTTCTCTCTCTCTCTCTCTCTCTCTCTCTCTCTCTTTCTCTCTCTTTCTTTGTCGTGTATTTCGAAAATATATAGCTAATATTGAGTGACGTATTATCGTTTGTCTATCACAGCTAAAAAATAATTTGTACGTCATTTTGTTCTTGAACTACGAAATGTATCAACTAAGAGAATAAATACGCAACGATAAGGAATTAATTTTTATTTAGTTAAATAAAAATTAATTCCTTATCGTTGCGTATTTATTCTCTTAGTACTACAAACATAATTAGTTACATTTCTGCAATTAATCTTCATCAGTAATGACATGTAATGCAATAAGATTTTACAATTTCAAGTTATCACAAATTAATGACGATTTTAATTACGTAACATGACGTCACTGATTATATATGTACAGTAGAATTTCCCTAACTTCAGTACTCGGTAATAACCCCCCTCCATATATTATATATACATGATGTCGTGTAATATAAAATAAAAATTTTCAGTGTTAAAATAGATTACGTTGATCTGTGCACAAAACGTTCTCACTCTATATTTTTTTTAATGTCCTTAATGTAATAAGAATGGAGAGAACCTCTTTAATTTATCACAGCCCCGTGTAGTAGAGATTATGGAAGTTCCACTGTATATACCGGACAAGATATTTGAAGAAAGATTTTTTGGTAGACAAATATTACATTTTTCATGGAAAGTTACTTTATTATTACTGAAGATAATAAATATTTAAAATTCTCTCTCTCTCTCTCTCTCTCTCTCTCTCTCTCTCTCTCTTTCTCTGTCGTGTATTTCGAAAACAGTTCGAACTATTTCGAAGCTACATTTCTCAAAAGGCTTTCTATATCTTCATTCGATAAAATAAATAAAACAGAGGGTCGGTGAAATAATAATTAGTGCTCAAAGAATAGAGAATACTTTACACTGAATACATTTTATATATTTCTTAATCCTCTAACACACATTTAATATACATAACATACAGTATGAGGTAATATAGCGATACAGCTCGTTCGTAATATAATATGTTGTCGATAGAGCGACATATAATAAACTCTTCGTTTCCGTTAGTCGGAAGGCAATACCGTTTATTAAATTAGCAATGTACTCAGTTTATGTGTTAACTCTATATTTATCTAGAATTACACACATAACAATACTCTTTACGATATTTACACTTAACCACAAAATGTACATATAAAATATATAATACGTTTTATATATGCGTGTATGTGTATACGTGTTTATGTGTGCACATGCATGCGTTTAAGATAAAATAAAAAAAGGAGAAAAAAGATAAATCTTAATAATATGATTAGTATCATTCTCTCCCATGGCGAGCCGTCACTCCTTAGTTTTGCATGTCTTAACATCTCGCCGATAGAAAAACGTTACAAAACTGATGGAAAAATTTCGATATAACGAGAATCTTCCCGTATATTAAATAGATTTTATGTTACATGCGATGAGTTGCGATACGAAATATGATAGTCTATACACATCCCTCTCTCTAATTTATACTATATAATTGAGTAACTAATTTTGCTCTCCATTTGATTTTTAACATTAAGATAGTTTGTTCATAATACGTAAGATTCCCTTGTAATACATTTAATTTGAACTCAATAAGTGCATAAATTTTATATGTGACTAAAACTATATACTTTTTCTATTTTATTACGCCTACGATAGTGATACTAATGCGATACTTGCGCACTTTGATACACACGCATCATTACGCTACGCTACGTTGATCAACACCAACTTTACATACTACTTTCTGTTTTGTATGTTGTTAGGACTGTGTCAAATAGCGAATGTGCACAGCATTCGCTCATTTATAAATTGTCTCTGCTAAATTCTAAATGACAATTTGAAAGTGAATATATAATATACACAAAATGAAAATAGCTTCGCTAACAAGTTTTTCTCACAGTTACTGTCCTTATAATTATAAATCACAAAACATAAAAAATATAGCTAAAATCATTTCGACGTATCAGAGATTCTAATAAAAATATTCGAAACAATAATTATTTATCGCGGAGAAACAATATTTGTGTAGAAAAAATTCAATTCGATATTTAAATTAAATTTCTAACTTTTCATTTTATAACATTGAATATCATAATTATTAAATCTCAAATTAAATTTTGTTTGGAGCAAAGTTTCTCCTCAATTCAATAAAAATAAAATTCTGTTATTAATTTTCGCTTTTAGGATTTCATTCCGCAACGCTTTCTATTATATTTTATAATGTGAAATAAACTGGATAAATTAGATTTAATATAAATTATAATTCTAGAAAATGAGAATGTATTAAGTCAACATATGACTCAATATTTAATTTCCATTCTTTAAAACAATATTCAGCGTGAAGGAGAGTTCTTTCAGGTTTTTTTCTTTTGAAAAACATACAGAGACTAGAATTGCCGTCCAACAAAAAAATTGCACAGAGTTTGAAAAATTAAACTTGTGTGGCTTCAATATATGATATTGTTTATTTGATCGTTATTTGTATCTGCAGAAAATTTTATCGTTTGTCCGAAAAGCTAGAAATTTCTCTTCGCTGATCCGGAAAAATGAGAGCGCGTTCATTATTCGTCATTGTTCTTTGTGTGACCAAACGAAGCGCACTGCAAAATCGTATATCCGATCTATTGTATCTCAATTGTCTCTGATCGGTTTGGGTCATCAAGTTTCCCTTTTTCCTTTATAGGCACGCTAAAATAGCGGAACTAGCTCTATGACATATTGTTGAAAATTCCGATTTCCTATTCTACGAATACAAAGCTTGCTTTTTCATGCGCGTTCAACAGTTTCGTTGCTTACTGTATTTTTTTCAAGTAAAAGGCTGGAAAATTTATTCGGCGTCAAATATCATCATCATCTGGAGAATGGAAATTGGATCTCAAGATAAGAATCAAAACTCATCATTTAACGACATTTTCTATAAAAAAAAGAATCTAAAAAATGCATATTTCTTCATTTGAAATAATTTTAAAACTAAATTTAATTTTAAAATTAAAACTAAAATTTAGCTAACTTATCACAATCTTCTTATAATTCATATAATAGAAAATGAAGCTTAATTCCATAGTAAATTCTTATTTATTTTAAAAGTTATTTTAAATATCTATTTTTTTACGAACATATATATGTATTTCTTTTCTTCTTTTTTTTAGTCTATCAAAATTAAATAAAAACAGACATTTTGATCAGTAATAATTGATTATAGTAAACATATTTAGATACTTAGCATACAGTAATGTCTTTAGAAGAAGCCCCATTTATCTGCCATGCCCAAAATAAAATATATGTGTGTGTGTTTAAAATGTATGTATTTGATGTGAATATAAGTTGTGTTCCCATTATACTTTAGTTGATACCACCATTGTGTATCACGCCAATCAAAAAGGAAATTAGGCGATGGCTAAAATCCTTCTTCTAGAGACACCGGTGTACAGAAATACGTAAAATTGTAATACCAATTGCATTCGAAAAATAATTATAGAGAATAGATACTTTCAAGTAGATACCGTTTAGAAATATCATTTAATACTTACATATTCACATATACTTATGAGGCAATGATACTTTACTACTAGGAATCGAAACTAATTATGAGGCTTTATTCATTAAATTCATAAAAGCACCGAGACGCGACATTGCAACAACATTATATCTCGTTGCATACATGAATACGCGAATAGATTAATACGTCAATCCACGGTCAAGTGATTTCGCGAACGCTTTCTTCGACACAGCTCAACTACCAAGGAAAACATTCGCGAATGAATTCGATTGTGGATTGATGATAGTATCAACCTTCCTGCAATTTCCTGTTAAAGTGAAGTTGTTCGTCCTTTTACATCAGGCTGCAGAGAGCAAATCCTGGTCCAGAATCGAATGCCGATTGTAATACCGTGGTTTCCATGCAAAATGCAGCATCCGTATACATTGCCGCAATTCGTTGTTGTTGCGCTCGACTTTCACTCTGCGATCTGCAAGCATATTTAAATTTTTCTAATTGGGAAATATTTCTAGTAGTAACTAAAATTATTTGAAATAAAAAAATGGATAGAATAAACAGATAGAAAAAATTATTCTACTCTTTGAATTATATAATTTTAATTAAATTAATAATTATACATCTCTCAAACATTTTTACTCGAGGAAAATGTGTAACACATTTCAGAGAAGAGAGAACTCTTGAAATTATTCTTGTCATTTTCCTCTTAATTTGCTCGCGATTATAGCAAAGAAAAAACGTAGAGAAGAAATCTCGGGACGCTCAGCATTTACATAATTGCTGTCTGTGCCATTTTTCTAAACCACTTTAAACCCGCTACTAGTTCTCAGCGCCTCAAAATGTCTCGAGGTAGCCAAGTACCTCCTTAGCCAAGCTAAGTCCCGGCGGTGTCGTAGTCGCATATGGCCATCCCGGTAACTACGTGAATTATTCCGCGAGCGATACCGGCTCCGAGATACGAGACGTGACAGCTGAGGTCAGCTCTTACAGCCTCTTCGACTACTCACCTGAGAGGCATTGCCCGCGCACGTCTCTGTACTCTGACCTGTACCCTCGGGACTGATTGTGAGTAGCCATCGTCTCTAGATTGTTGTCGTTGCTGTTGATGTTGATACTGTAAGCCACGATCGCTTAGCGCCAGCTGCGTCAAATATTCGCGAAGCTCAGGTTGGCTGGCCAAAAGTTCACGTCGTGAGATACTCGAAGCCTGATTAGTCGTCGTCGAATCGGACCACGGTGGTGGAGGAGTATGTGAGCGTGATGTCATCGCGTTCTTGTGATAAAGATACTCCTCGTACGTCGGTGGCAGACCGTTCTGCAAAACGAAAATGTGCCTCATAGTTAATAAAAAAAAAGATACAAAACAAAATATGCAGTAGTTGCAAACACATACATGCAGAGAGATGGAAAAGGCATTAGCGTCTGAATTTAAAAGCTTGCTATTCTAGACATTAATAGTTGAAATAAATAACATTTTAAATGAATTATTTTTAAAGGGATTATTTTTTTTTTGTTAAATTATTTTTTGTTAAATTATTTACTCGATATTTTGCATACAACAAATTATTTTTACAATTTTTTCAATTGCTCTTTAGGTTTACAAATAATTCTGTTAAAATCTTACATTTTTAACATACATAGTATGCAATAACGTACAGTTTCAAGCGAGAAATATGTTACACGAAAAATGCATGTGTTAAAAAAAATTAAAAAAATTTTTTAATGCGCTTTATATGAGAGGATATATTTGCGACGGTTTCATATAAAACTTGCTTTCGAAATAAGTAACTAGGACAAGGTCCGATATACAGAACATTTTACAAATAGAAAGTACTGTTTTTTATGCCTGTCTCTATGCTTTTAACAAGTTGTTTTATGTTTAAAATACGTAGTTAATGATCAATTACTATAATCAGAAGTAATAAACGAAATTGAGATATACTAATGAGGCATAACATTTTCACCCTCCTGTATTTCATTTTGTTTAACAATGATCATCATGAGAATAATAAGATAGTCGTTGAATAATTAAAAAAATTAATTAACAATAACTTCAGAAATCTCGTATTGCTCGCGAGACCACATTAGGATCACGTTACTCTCCGCAACTCCGATTCCCAGGTTGTAGTTACTTATCATTATGTTTGCATGGTGGTTTCGATACCTGATCTTTTGTATTGTGTTTCAGATGCGAAACAACAATTTGTTATTTCGCGAAATAAAACTGTGACTACGATCTATTTTAATTCAAGAAAAATAATGGACTTTAAATCTGATTCTTCAATTTTTATATAATAACTTTGATATAATAGCTCTTTGATATAAATCACAAGAATAATCGTGTTTGTAAACAGCATAGTTAATGTTATTAATTTTAATAGAAAGTAACTTTTACAATACATAAATTCATCAATGGAAGCTCGAGTAACGAAATTAACCGTGTAAATCAGTTCCACATTTTTCGTTGAAAATTATAATAAAGCCGCAAACTGTTTTTAATGTTCTTCTTAAACCGACCACGGTTTGCATCCATAGCATAAAACGCAGAAAAAACTTTTCTCGTTTCTCATCAGGCCGACTTGCCTTGCATATTATATCGTAAAAGCTTGCGGGAGCTTGCAAGCATACATCCTTTCCTTTTGTGTTTCCCGCAAAAGGTGTCGACTCTTGTTTAATCGTGTAATTGTAGCATAATGCTTTTTGCATTTAACGCTAACATTATGCTATTAATATTTTATGCAGAAATGACTTTCGCAATTTTCACATATATTTTATTAAACATTTTTATATATTTAATATTATGCTACATTTTAAAATTAAAAATTACCTTCTCTCCAAAAGACTAAAAATAATATATATGTATATATATATGTATACACACACACACACACACGTTAGTCGCAACATGTCACAAACACGTTTCTTTTCAATTTCTCTCTGTATCTAGATATGATGAAAATATTAAGTTAGAAATGTTATACAATTTTATATAATTTTATGCTTCAGTTTTCAATTAAATAATTCAATAATTCTAAATACAACGTAATTATTCGAAAATATCTTTATATATATGTGTATATAAATACATATAAAATTATAAATATTACACCAAAAAAGTGTGATGTAGACAGTTTATAAAACATTTTATGATCTCTCTCTCTCTCTCTCTCTCTCTCTCTTTCACTCTTTCTCTCTCTTTCTCTCTCTTATTAATATTAAATTTTATTATATATTAAATATTTTCAGATACATATTCTATCGTTTTTATTGATCCAAGAAGAAATGATCCAAGAAGAATTTATTAAATAATCAAGAAAACTCCAATCTATATTCAATTTCGGCTTCTAGCGTGAAAGGGATGAAAATTTAATAAGAAGAAATAGTACGGTTATCTACGTATATATGTTCATAGTAAATAGATGTCATTCGCAAATGGAAACGTACGATGCACTTCTTTATATCCGCGAATCTACGCTTTATCGAACGTCATGAAACTTGGGCTATAAATATGTATCCCATCGCGAGAGATATTTTATGCTTTACGAAAATGAAACACATATCAAGAAAGTTGTTGATATTCCAATGGCACAACTGCATTTCGTTCCAAGGATTATAATGAAATCTCGAATACGTCACTAGCAAATTGATCGAAAAATTTCTCTTGATATAATCATGAAAATATTCGATATGCGTACGAGAATAAAAGAGTCACGAGGTGAAATGAAACCGCAATGAGAATCAGAAAGTCTAACATAGAATTTCCTCGATCACTTTTGTCCTTCAATCGAAAAGGAGAGAACTTTTCGATTCTTGCTATTTTCGCTTTTGACGAAGTCAACTGCCGGCAACTACGATCTTCCACTCGACGAGGAGGAAGAGTGAAATTGAATTTCGGGATTATTATCTTGTGATTCCATTTTCCAACGTGAGACGAGCGTGGTTACCCTCAGGCGTTCGTTTAAGAAGATCGTTCAGAACCCCGTGGTTGCGTTTTTCCGTCCGCAGTAACTTCGCTCCAGGGTGATTATGTTTCTCCTGAAAATGCTGTGCAAAGATTTCGACAAAACTGTCTTCATAATGCATGCAACTTTTCAGGATCAGGTATCAATGTTTTTCAAGTCATTATCATAATCTTGCGATATACAAACGCACGATTTCTCTTATAATTTCTCTATTTATTTTAAGTTTGTATTTACACTTTATGAAAATTAATTACTATCTTAATTTTAAAAATTATTAATTGATTAAAAAAAAATATATATATATATAATATTTTCTTCTATTATCTTTACGATTATTAGATTTACGTATGCGAAATGTGATAATAAGAAATGTTTCCCTTATGGTGATAAATATTGTGAATCTTTTTCATCATCACAGTTTGACTGGCAATTTTCACTCGTTTTCGTTTTGCGGTCTTTTTATGGTATCGTAATTTGCCTTCCCGTACTAATTTTCGCTCGTCTCATTTCTTCTCCCTTTTCGCAGGCAATCAAGCTCCTATCTAGTTGGTTTTATTTCTCCATTACATATATATGTATATATATCTTCTCTTTCGTCCATCTTTCTCTCTCTGTCTCTCACACATTTTCAGTCTTTTGCAACCGTAACTAGCCTTCGGTCCCTCTTCATCATTTGCGCCGCTTGTATCATTTGGACTAATTCACGTGGTGAAATTAATACGAGAGCAAACCTACGAGAATATATCTTACGTTCTCTAACTACAGACTGCAGAGCAGTCTCGTGAAGCCTCAGAGTATTACATGCTACCTCTCCGCCTAAATATTCAAAACCGCCGTTCTTTAATGTAAATGCTTCGTCCCACAAAGACAATTTAACTACGGCTTCTCACCCACGGCAACATATTGCGGCATGAAATTTTCAGTTCGCTGATATGACGCTGCGTCTGCAACAAGTCGACTCGCAATCAGAATTGTAGAATTCAGTGAAACCTATTATCTAGTATCTGATATTTGGTTCAATAATTAATCCCTAACTGGAATCGATGTTCCAAAGTTCTCAGAACTTTCATTACGATCTTATGATAGAGAAAACTTCATTGGCGAAGGAGACCAAGTTTTCCCGGAAGTTCGCAAGGATGATAACACACGTCAGTTTGCTCGTAATTGCGTGAACTGAATCACCTCGCTCGCTCGCTCGATAAAGGACTTTCTCGTCCCACGCGTCCGAGAGGGAACCTCTTTGCACCTTCTTGCGAGGGGATTTCTAATAAATGGGTGACTCCCGCGAGCACAATGTAGCCCTCGCGGCCTCGCTAGAAAATAGTAAAGGTAAGGCTGTTATTCAAATTAGAAGACGCGAGTGCTTCGCACGCCTGCAGCTCATGAATGGAAACATTCACTAAAGGACCTCGTGAAGTAAGCTCGAAAGCTCTCGAGAGAAAAGCCTACCGCTAACTCCTTTTTCTTTCTCCTTTTTCTAATTTCCTTTTTTATATAATATCTGACCGCCATAGCGATTTAATCTTTTGCGCACAATCAGTCGCATTTTGTAAACGAAGATATTATTGGAGCCTCGAAAAACCTTAGATGCACGCGAAATTCATTTCACTAATTGAAATTATATCAGGCGAAGGTATTAGTGAGTAAATTAATCGCAAAGTACACGTAGAAAGTAGTAAAGAGACAAAATATTCTGAAATGCTTAAAACGTATTCCTGGTGACGCTCATAAAGTAGTCCTTCCGAGAAAAATCTAGCAGAAAATAATGTTCTCTTTTGTTCTCTTTCTTTTATATAAATAATCTAAAATCATAGTAATCATGGGTCGGCTAACGAGCAACTATAACTTGTCCTCCGCCTCTCTCTCTCTTTCTCTCTATTTACCTCTATCTTCCTCTTTTCTGTAAGATATATGATCCGCAATTACGGTCTCGAGGATGTTTTTCCGAGTCTTCTTTTATCAGACCACACAATTTAGCTGTGCGTACCGTAGTGAACTTCCCTAGGATGGTTTTGCATTTCATACGAGCAGTTTCCGAGCTTGCGCTTGCTCGCTCGAGCGACACTGCTGCGCAACGTTCCAGATTGAGAACAATTTTAACTCTTTTTCACGATCTCCTTTGGTGACCTTTTCATTTTGGAGTAGCAAAGTGCAAACGGAGTCTCCTCATTATTGCGAAACATAAGAAGCCTGTTAAAAAATTTGTCACCGCGATTATTCCTCGACCTCGAGCTTTTTCTTTAACATATACTAACGTTATTTGAACAAACCAAATAATATGCTGATCATTATCATTTCATCATATGCGCACAAATAGCGATCTCTCCGTAACAATAAATATTAAAAAAAAACC